CTAGTGAAGAGTATGTGTGTCCCTGGGTTCTCCTTTTTGGCACAGTTTTGGGTGCATTAGTTGTACGGACTAAGCTATTTTTACATGTCTAAAAGACATTTATTTACCATGCTCATTAAAATCAGGGTTCTGATTCACATATATATTTGACCACCAATATCAAAAATACAGTAGAATCCCTTAGAATTAATGATGATATGGCTTATCATCAGTCACATGAAAAACCAGGAAAAATAATAGTTCAACATGTGCAAGTCATTGGAAGCAAAGTTGTTAAAACAGTCTTTTCATAAAATATAAATATTGTTAAATTTCCTCACTAGCTTCTCTCTGCAATTGGAGGATAATCAACAATGTGTTAGTTATTCCCAAATTGTGTGAAATGAATGCTGAATACTTCATGTAATTTATCCCGGGGCCTTAGGTATGCCCCAGCAAAAATTTCATAGTCTAATAAATTGTGGTGTGAAAACAAACTTAAAATGTAGTCTTCCTCTGTAGGATGGGTTCATTGTTTACTCACACAAAAGGACAAATCATACTTCCTTGTGAACCTTAATGCATAGTACCTCTGCCAGTCTGAATGTAATGGCCCCCCATGAGCTCACAGGGAATGGCACTGATATGAGTTTGGTTTTTTGCTGTAGGTATGGACTTGTTGAAGCAAGTGTGTCACTAGGGTGGTGGACACTGACATCTTATATATGCTGAAGCCATGAACAGTGTCCCAGACCACTTCTCATTGCCATTGATTAAGCTGTGTAATGCCCAGCTCCTTCTATACCACCATGTTTGCCTGCATTCTACCATGTTGCAACAGGTTGATACTTGATAAAACCTCTGAAAATGTAAGCCACACCAATTAAATTTTTTTCCTTTAAAAAATTGGCCATAGCCAGAGTGTGGTGGCGCAGGCCTTTTATCCCAGCACTTGGTGGGGCAGAGGCAGGTGGATCTGTGAGTTCGAGACCAGCCTGGTGTACAAGAGCTAGTTCCAGGACAGGCTCCAAAGCCCCAGAGAAAACCTGTTTAAAAAATAAATAAATAATAAATATTAGCCTTGTACATGGTGTCTCTTCACAACTATAGAAACAAAAACTTAGTCAATGCATGCTTCATTACCCTTTAGAGAGGAAATTTGAGAAACCATGACAAATTTCCATCATACTAGATCGTATTATACATAGGCTTGTGAACTTGCTCATCATGTGTTATTAATAGAAAACATAGTATTCAATTATAGCCATTCTTTATTATGTAACATACAACAACAGCTATTTAACTCATTAACACCCCCAACAAACCCAGAGCCCACAGCCCATCAGCTTGCCCTTTCTGGGCTCCCTACCTGCTTCCCTCACGGTTTGCCCCAGTGCCTGCTCACTGCAGCCTCCACCGAGGCTGTGCCTGAACCATCCATTCATCTGTTTATTAATTTATTCATTCATTCATTCGTTCCTTCGGTTTCTTATTCATGGACTCCCAGGCGGGAGCGAGCATGCAGGCGGCGAACTCGTGAATGAACACCCCCATCCATCACCATTCTTGTCCCACCCTTCTCGCCTTCTTAAACTACATCACTGACTTGACTGCTGACACCTGGCGGCTGCCTGCAGTCAGTTCCCTGGATGGCCCAGCTCTCTGAGTCACTGATTCACTGACTCACTTGCTCATTCACTTGCAAATACAGCCAGGTGAGCCAGCAGCTCTTAGAGAAGTTTTCCCGCTCCCTGCAGAGAGCTCGCCCCAGACTACATTTCCCAGTGTGCCCTGCGCTCCCAAGCAACCACTCTTCTGCCTGCTCGCCTCTGGGCTTCCTTCCTGGGATTTTAGAAGACTTAGGATACTGGTAGGATTTTGTGATTTTTTTAGAGGGGTGGAAG